AGGGAAAATAAATTTTCAGAAAAAGATATTCGGTATTTTTCCAGTCCCTGAAAAGGAAAAGCAAATAATTATTTTCTTTGGCTTTGTTAGTCACAAGTTAAGAAAAAGCGACTTTGGGAATTGCTTTTCCATATTGCAGTGTAAGGCATTTGAAGTCTGTAGGAATGTTCTTGCTTAATCAAAATATTGTTGATTATTATAAACGTGTTTAAAACTCACAAATGAGATTTCCACAAGACTCGAGTATTTTACCATCTGAAACTAAATAGGTATTTCACTTCATGTATTGTCATGACCTCATAAGAATGAGGCTGAAAATTTCTGTTTTATGAATAACTGTAGGACTATATACAAAAGTTAATTCCTCATTTTTATGAAAAATACATACATATGGTTGTATTAGATTACCTCTTTTAGATTTTCTAATGGTTATTACATTTGAAAGATTTTTTTTTTGTGCACATGAATACGAGGGTTTGAAACTCCATTAGCTGAAAAAATGTGACTTCTAGCAACTCACATTGTGTGTTCTGTAAAGCATCATTCAGATTCTATGAAAACTCCACCAAATAAACCCAAAATACTGCAGATTGCACTGTGTAAATGGAGCACTTCTTAGCTTGTAGCATTAATTAGTTGATATTTGTAATGCATTTTGAAGAAGAAAGATGTTATATAAGGCAAGATTTATTATTGTTACTGTATGTATAATGTCTGTAATCCTAAAGAATTTCTGCAGCAAAAAGTCTCTACTATGTGATGGGGGATTGGTTTTTCATGAGACATTTTTATGGCATCTGTAACCCTGGTTTTCCTACCACAGTTTAAATTTCATCATCTTGGAAAACAGCTTAGACCATAGGAAAGATGAATTGTGGCTAAACTTTGACTTCCATTATGCTTTTTATTGGGGGTAAGAATTGCTAATTATTTTAAATGCATGGTAGTTGGGAAACATTTTGAGAGTCAAAACAAAATAGCATTTATGCTACGAAATTCTGGAGAAATACAAAAGCAAAATAATATCAACAGACCTAATTATTGTCTGGATAACTCTAAGGCAATACTACTGCATGAAATTAATCAGCTGTAGATTTCATATCAAAAGACACAATTCATACCCTGTCTTCACTTGTATGTGATACTATTTTGAAAAGGGAATCTTAAATAATTTCAGGAGCTAGGACTAGTTGACTTACTTTCTGCTACTCTTGTTCTTCTATATATTGTGTATTGTTATTAAGCTAGAGGACAGTTGGTATGAAAGCCTCATGCACTGAAATACATAAGCTGGGTTTATGCAGAAGTGGTACATGTTATTGTATCCACCATGTGAGGCTGCTTTTCAGAGACAACAATTTTCCATGTTTAAGGCAAGATTTTACACAAGGAGATTTCCAGTGACTTTTAGTGACGATTTGCAGTGCTGTAATTGTACATCAGAGACAGCATAATTTATTGCAGCTTCACTAATTAACTACGTGATGCCAGGAGCTGGGAACTGAAATCCCAGAAATGGAGGTTCCAGCAATTGTTCTCAACAAAAGGTTATAATATTAAAAAAATGGTTTGCAAGTTGGCAGTGGTGCTAGAACAGTTTGTACAGTGGGGATGCTGAGAGCCATTGAACCAAACTGTAAAGTAAACCCTGTATATGATGGAAACTACTTCAAGCCAGGGGATGCCGCAGCACCCCGAGTTTCAGCACCTATGCAAATTGGGATTAGGGAATTGAGGGGGGCAGGTTTTCAGATGCACTTCAGGTTGGAGTATTGGTAATCCTCAGTAGAAAAGGAAGATCTTCCAAAGTGAGAAACAGGCTCTTCGCATGTGAACAAGAGTACTGAGCTGTCAGATGGAATAAGGTAGGATTTCTAATGTAAGTGGTTGGACCCTTATTTTGTTTTGCTAAACGTAGTACATTCTCGCATTAACAAGACAGCTGCAAATTTTCATTGTTCAGTCACTTCGCTTTTATTTCCTATGCCTCATCCTACATTTGTATAACTGGCTTTATTAAATAAATGTCATGTTTTTGTCCTCCTAACTTACAAATTAAATTTAATCAAGGGGGGACGGGGAGGAGGCCAGAGCCCATCCTTAAATGTGGTTCTCTGGCCTGAAATGCAAAGGTATTTTTTGCTGCATCTCTTAGTTGAGTGCATATAGTTTACTAATTAAAGTAGCACTCTAGATCCTCTTAGAAATACCCCATATAGATAGCTTAATCCAAAGATAATGTGACTGCATGAGATGTGATCTTATTGAACAACACATAACATTCTGGAACTGCATCTCTATAGCTTTTTGCTTCAAAAGAAAAATAAATGTAACACCAGATAGATACTAATGGATTAGTTTTTCAGCACATACTAAAGAAATCTGGAACTAAAGCCTAGTCAGCAGTTGAACCAATAATTTTGTGTAGGTTACACTTATTATAGTAGAGTTACTGGTAATTGTTAGGTTTGGGTGGGCTGTTTTCCTAAGATAACTCCAATGTTAAAAAACTGTATTATGAAGCCCTTTGCGCAACTTCCACCAGTAGGGTTATACACACAAATGAAGTCAAATTCATGAAAGGTCTACTGTTGGATCATATGGTAGTTCCCTGAAAAAATAAGTGACCATTTAAAACAAATATGAATATGTGTACATGTATTCATACACCAGATTGTGATAGACGCTTAATTTATTACATTACCCTTTTTTGAAGGAGAAAAGTTTAACAGAAATTGGGAACAAAGCAGCAATACGTGTTTATGTAAAATCCCCTAAGCTTCCCCCGTCCATCACACATAGGTGGCATTCTTTTAGATTACAGTAAACACACAATTCTATACATTAATTTGAATTAAAAGGCAAATAGAAATTTAAAATATTTTTTGAAGAAAATATTTACTTAAGAAAAATCGTCTTAATTCCTACTTCTGTAAAGTCATTTGGTAGGCAGTGATTGTAGGAGACCTTGCAACTAGCAGGCATCTTCAAAACATCAGTCAGTAATTTGATCTGGATTTCACAACACTAGTAAGATGAGAATTTTCTGAAGCTGTCTTTTTCTTCCTCAGTCCCCACTCCTTCTGTCAAAATCCTTCAAAAAACATACACTTTACATGCCCCATTTTCCAGTCATTCTATTATAGAATTATGGGCATTGTGTTAACAAACTCTTGTCCTTTAGCTCAGTCAGAGCTAGAAAGATTTTTCTGTGGTTTCCAATGGAAAGACATTAATTAATTTGTATTTTTTTGTCAAGTAAACTCATTTACTTTGTTTCTTGTTTGTGGAGAAAGGAGATTGCTATGTGTTAAAGAAAAAAATTTACTATAATTTTTTCTGGGTTGGTTTACTTGTTTTGTAACAGGAAATTGAACCTTACAGTGCAAATACTGTACAACAGTATGTATGTTTGGCAATTCAGGGAATAGCTCTACATTTTTACTTAAAGTTTAAAGTAAACAAATAGAGTCCAAGGGAAAAAATGGCAGGTACAGCATTTACTTTAAATATAGAAAAGGTGATGTGCTTACAAGTTGAAAATTCGTTTAACTCTGATTTTAGGATTTCCTGGGTGGGTAAGGGTATTTTGAATTCTTTGCCATTAGTTACTGGATTCCCATAAGTAGAACACTAAACTACTGGCTGAAATGAAATGAACTACTTCAGACAGATTCATTGCAATACTCTTTATATTCAGCTTGTTCTGCTTAGTTCAAATTGTGGGTAATACCCAATCCCAAAACACTGCTTCATTCTTAAAACTCTGAACAACTTTTTTTTGTTGAGTGAATGGATGGACTAATGAAATACGGCAGAGTGAGTTCTTAGTTAGTTCTTAGAGAACTTTTGTTTTGAAATGGTACCAGTTGCTGTAAGAAATGTCAAAGGATTACATCTCCTGTGCCTCCTATCTTTCTTTCGTACAGTTTCCGGCAAAAGAAAGTAGCTCTTTTAATTGCAAGAAGTACAGCTTTTCTTTCTGGATCGTCAAGAAGTTTAGCAGGCAGAATCCATTTAGTGGGTTGTTCTTTGTGCCTAAGTAAAGCTAGCTATCATGGATTTGGAATGTAGTTATTGAAAGCAAGCACTGCATTTGCTGTTACTTCCCTTAACAGTGGCCTCACTTTATTTTCACATAACCCAATCACTCTTGAAAAGAGTATAAAAAGCTAGCGCTTAGTCTTTCAGTGTGTTGTTAGTATGAGATAGCCCTGTAACACACACTTTCAATAATATTTACTTTTATTTTGCTTGTTCAAAAGATTGTATTTAACCAGTAAAGCTGGTGAATGCTGTGCTTGCAAAAAGATGCATCTAAATACTTCTTTGTTTTTAAAGTAAAGGGTTCATATAAACTTCCAAACAGCAGGATATTTTATAAAACCTGTAGGGATTTACAGAAACTTTCATATCTGGTTAATCTGATTTAATGTAGAAGAGATTGAAGGCAGGCTTCCTGGTTTTTAATACAATAGCTCTTTCAAAGAGCAGGCATGAAAGAAATGTAGAGCTTTTTGTCATGAAAAGTTTTGCTGAAAAGCATACAATTCTTTGTACACATGTACAGTCAGTAGGAGAAGAAACCTCCAACTATGTACAGAATAAAGTAAGAAAAAAATAACTTTTAAAGAACATGAAGATTAATTGCTCAGCAAGAAGTCTTTGATTCTCTGACACTGTAAAATGTCACTAAATCATTTTTACCAAACATATTTTTGTTTTAGAGTAAGAATTTACAAAATTCAACTTTAGTTACATATTTTATGGATGCAAGAGTACTTTTTGTAATAGTTATATTTGTTTGCTTATTTAATAAGCATTACACAGTTCATAACTAAATTTACATCAGAGAGATTGTAGTAACTCTCAGAACAAAACAAAGCTGCTACTAAAAGACTGGCTTTATAACTCAGTCTCTGTGCATTGGAAATTATTTCATACATGTGAAAACATCTGTATATTTTAAATGTAAACCAGCTGTACTGTAACATTCTTACCGTGTTTCCTTCGCCTTTGGCTTCTTTCTTCAGTCTTTAACGTGCTTTTTTTCAAAGATTAACTGAACAGCTTATCCATGGGAACTGTGACATCTCTGTATCAGAAGTATGTCTGCAGTGAAAGCTAGCTAGACTGCCACTGAAAAGTTTTATACATTTGATACTATAATTAGAAAAGTTAATACCCTAAGGCTCTGATGATCTTGTTTTTCTTCTTGTTTAAATGTTTTTCCTTGATAGAAAAAAAGACAGCTCAGTTGCTGAATCTAAGATGCACATCCTCATGCTATAGGCATGGAGGGACAATAGGCTGCAGTAGAAACTTTCTTTTGGTGAAAGAAGAGAACTCAGGCATTTCAATTCCGAAGTTTTGAATCTATCATTTCATGCAAGACTAAAGCAGCCTTATTTGAACTTCAGCTCCTTTGTGGTGGATTTACATGCTGGAGTTAAAAAAACCTATTGAGCATGCAGCAAGTAGACAAGTTCTGGTTGGATAAGCCTTTTTCCCCCTCCCACAAGTACAAGGGATCCACCAGCAATAGACACGTTCAGGGCCTCCCCCTAACCACAAACAGCAGAGGTCTGGCTGAAACCAAACTTTAATACAGTGATGTCACAGCTCACAGCAGTCCAAAGTAATCTGGCGTGCAGGAGGCTGCCTCCCTGGGCTTTGGCAGGGCACATTAGCAACAATTTCCTCTGGACAGCTGAGCTGAAAAACTACCAGTTCCTTATGAATATATCAATACTTTATAAAGGGTTTTGTTCAGGAAAGGCCAGGCTTGTACTCTTGGGATTATGTAATGTGTTTATTTTACCTACATTTTTCTGTAGCATTTTGTTGTATTGGTATATGTTAGTAAAGTTGTCTGAATTATTGTGAACCATTTGTTCATACTACTTAAAAACAGGTAGAAATTAGACCCCTTAGATTTTTGGCATTACTGATTAACTGCTAATATTAATCTAAAAATGAGTTATCTATCTATAAAATTCAAAGCTGTGATTCCTGGGTTCAGAGAGACATTCTGGAATCTATTGTGTGTTTAAGAAGCATGATCTATTTATTTATTTTTGTTCAGACAAGATGTTAGAATATTTATCTATGCAGGATTCAGCTGCAAACTGTCTTGTAGGGGGACTGAGTGTCTTTCCCTTTTAGTGCACTTTTCACAATACTCCACATCAACATTTGTATCTTTTAACTTGGGCAATTTGCACAGCAGCCCCTTGATTATTTCTGGGTTTTTACTTAGCCAACCTCTATTTTATTCCTTTTCAGCTCAGTGTGTAGGCAAAAAAGAGAGAATTTGTACTACTATGGACAGACATAAATAATAACTAAAAAGACTAACTTAATCAAAGTAATGAGGGGTGTCTGAACACTTCTAGTTCTACCACCCTCCTCAACCCATGCTTTCAGTTTGCCATGACATTTCCAGGTGAAGACAGAAATCAAATTGTCCAAACTCAAGCAAGCTCTCCAGTTATCTAATACTGTTTAAGGAAGTATATTAATATAATTTGGCTGAATTCCAATTTTTTTTTTACCTGTTGGCCTGCAAATAATGCTGCTTGGTATTGCACATCTCTTACATGTTCACTATTCATTATTAAAGATTTCTTCCCAATTGATGATTACATGCTACAAAATCTGCCATTGCTTTTCTATGTGTAGCGTGTACTCATGGTCATTTGCTGTAGATCAGTGGTTCACAAACTTTTTTCTGCCAAAAACCCCTTTGGCATCTGCCTAATTGTCCCAGATCCCTTTCGTTTCTGGCACTACCAGAATGTGCCTGCCAGCGTAACATCGCACACAGTGTGCATGATAGATCAATTTCTCAAGCTGTCATGTTAGAGGATTCTTCCTACTCCTACCATCCACAAACATTTGTCAAACAAAAAACTAAGTTTGGAAAACTCAGACATGGTGAATGTCTACACTAACATTTATGTCAGCAAAACTTCTGTCGCTCAGGGGTGCAACAAAAACACACCCGAGTGACGTAACTTTTGCCGGCATAAGTGCTCATGCACAATTAGTTTTGTGAAAATTAATTTTTTTACACAGCTTCAGTAATGAGAACTGTTCCACTGAATTTTAACTTGATTCGATGGCCACATAATATTAATATGTTTCAATAATATATATTATTTTATAGTAACTGTACAGTTTGTCACACTGTGCCTTATAATATTTTGGGACAATCTGAGCAACTGGTCTATTTCTGCTTTAGGAGGAAAAATAGCCAGCTTCTGGAATGTTTGTGGTCAGTTGTTCTATATGAAACAGATTGAAATATTGTTAGTACATGGAATTTTAAACATTGTTGCACAAATGATTGACATCAGTACACTTTCTTGAACGTGTTTAACTTTATTTCTTTATCCTTTCCATCTTGGAAATTCACTTCAGAAATTTCCAGTGACTCCTGTAGTTTTCTCTGTATACAATGTCTGTCTAATTAATTATCTTCTATCCTTGAAACATATGTACTGGCTAAAGCAATCAAAGTCAAAAGTAGCTACCAAATTTAAATTAAGCAAAGTTTATGTTTGTGTGGGTTTGGGGCTAATTTGGGTTTTGTAACCATAAATTTGATAAAAAATAAGTGGTGACAATAAGTAAAGTGAAAAGTAGATAAAAATAAGACTCTTCCTATAGTATTTTTGAGGTTAGGCAACTATCATTGGAAACGTCTGTTGTCTTTGTTGTGCTGGTTCCTTGAAGTTGGCTTTAATGCCAAAAGGAGATTTACAAGAGTAAAAAAGACAATTTAAAAACACGACAGGCTTCATAAATAGCATACAAATCTCCTGTCTAACTTAAGTGGGTGCTCTAATGTCTGTCTTCTGTTTGTCTGATTTCATATTAAAGTGGTGTCAGAATAACTGAAGTAATTTGATGTATTAAATTACAGAAACTACATGGAATGTCATCCTCTGAAAATGTTTATTTCTCAAACTTATATTGCATTTGCAGTTTTAAAAACTTACAGAGACAACAACAAAAAACAAACTGCAAAGGATGAAGAGTTGTATGAAGATGCATTAAAAAGTTAACAGGATGAATTATTCCTGTTGAAATGTAAAAATTAAATGTAAAATTAAATTAAATGTAAAATGAATATAGCTACCATTACCCTCACAAGAGCTTCACCTTGGCCTCTGTTACACACAGAATATTCGATCATGAATAGGAGTTATATTTAAATGCTGAGGTGCAGTTAAACCTGTTTGTGAGAGAGACCTGATAGCATTTCCTGCACTTTGAATATCAGACAAAGTTACATTATTGCCACAGCCCCAAGCTGCTGCACCCTTATTGAGTTATGATCAGTATTCCTAGGAGAGGGTCCATCACCTTTCCACTGTGTTCCTCTAACTTCATTCTCCATAAGTTAACTGAGTCATTTTCCCAAAATCTAAACTCTTTTAAACCCAGGGTTGCCTAAATTTAAAGCCATACAGAGCCATTAGTCCAATCCATACTTCTCCTGTGGCTTCTTCAGTAATGGTATTTTGACATGTCTTCATAATACTGAGCACGTAGAGTAAATAGTTTCTGCTGTAGCTCACAGAGTCTCATAAGATACATTGGACAGCATGGACTACAGGAAGCAGTGAGAGCCCAGAGATGGAGTGCCCACCACTTTTCTCCTGAAGAACCGTTTGTCATTCAAGGCATTAATACTGTACTGCCTCCATATGAGCATCATTAGTGAGGTGCCCAGACATTAGCTTCTCAGTTGAATACAGACCATCTTGGCGTTCATGCGGTATATTGTCCCATTATCACTGCTCTAAGCAGAGTATGCTGTTTGTAAGCCACTGAGCTGTCCATTATGCAGATATTTATGACTAAGTTCTTTTGTGCCAAAGCATTTTAGAAAGTGGGGAAGAAGATATTATGAAGGTCAAGACTATAACAGGGTTCAAACAAGAACTAGATAAGTTCATGGAGGATAGGTCCATCAGTGGCTATTAGCCAGGATGGGGAGGGATGGTGTCCCTAGCCTATGTTTGCCAGAAGCTGGGAATGGGCGACAGAGGATGGATCATTTGATGATTCCCTCTGGGGCACCTAGCATTGACCACTGTCGGAAGACAGGATACAGGGCTAGATGGACCTTTGGTCTAAGCGAAGTATGACTGTTCTTATGTTCTTGTAGTAAATTGTAACTCTTCTTTGATGTTTTTATGAGGATAAGGTTCTTATTGTTTTGCTGAACAAGAGTTCTGGTGAAAGACCAAATTTGCTCCTTACAGAAAATTTGCAAATTATTGATTTAATTATTGTGGCACCCAAATCATGGTACTGGTGTACAGACAAAGAAGATACGACCCTGCCCTGTAGAACTTACTGTTTAAGGATACAGCAGTGACAAGTGTGGTACAAGAACCTGAATAGAATAGAATAGGTGGGAGGAAAACGAAGGAGAGGGTTTGTGGGAGGATCCCAGAAATAGGCTACCACTACAAAAACAGGCATGCATACTGACCAAGCAACCTCATCTTGTTTGTTTAGTGAGCGGGGGTGTTGGAGTGGGAGAGACTTGTATGGTTTTTATTTTATTTATTATCATCATTATTAAATGACTATTTATATAAAATTTTTAGTTCTGTCCCCGTGGCTTTTTTGTAATTGTAGCATAGTTGGGACCTATGAAGATTATGGTTATTTATTATTTCTGGTAGTGTCCACAATGTGCTCATAATCTAATGACAGAGGGCAAGGTGAGGGGGCAAAACTTATAAATAGGGTGCAAACACATAATCCAGATTGGCCACATCATGTGACATAAGGTTAAATTAACATGTTGATTTAATTTTTTTTTAAGTACGCTGTGTAATTTTTTCCAAATTATTCCTCAGACATTGTCAGTAAAAGTCAGCTTTTTTTCTCCACAGTTTTAGTGGAGAAGTGGGGCTTTAGGAGGAGGGACTTGAATGCAGAGAGGGTAGGGGCCTTGTGGAGGAGCTTGGAAAAGGTACCCCATATATTGGGGCAGAGTGAAAGGAGACCTGGCAGTAATAGTGTGAGCAGCAGATAATTGGGAGGACAAGGCTGATGTTGCTGGCAGGATGGAAGGGCTGGGAGCGGTGCAGTACGAGACTTGCAAATAAGTACAGAGGGGAAGGGTTATGCAGTGCTGTGTAGGCACTCTCAAGAAGCTTGAAGTTGTGGTAGAGCAGTGGGAGATGGTGCTAAGATAGGTAAGAAAATGATTTTTAGAAGTGATGATTTTAAGATGTTTGGAATTTCTAATGCCGCCGCACATGGAGCAGACCCAGACAGGGTTCATATTCAACATCAAAAAGGTTTTCTAACAAGAGATATGAAAGGAGAAACACTCAAATAAAGGTCATTAACTGTAGCTACAAGCATGATGTGATATTTAGAAAACAATAGTTTACTGCAAATACAAAAATTAGTAACTGTCAGAAAAACTAATTGTTAGCATTTGAAAGTATATAACAATATTTTTATTATTTGTTTACTTTTATTAAAAAAACAAAGAAATAGTTTATCCTTT